CAGCAATATATTATTGCGTCTTGTCTTGCACGCGATATTTGGCGCTACATTGTGACGTCACGTAAACAACTGTTTAAACGTCTGTACAGCGTTTATAACTGAATTAAAGATATTGGTGTTCGGATTTTTTTTCTTAGTTAGACCATTTTCTATCATTCTAGATAGTTTTCAAAGCAAAATTCAACAAAAATTTGTTTTGTATTTATCGGATTTTTCAAACAAACTGGCGAAAGAAGTCCCTTAGAATAAATATGAGTTTTGACTCCGCCCACTTTCATATTTATATTTCATATTTATTTTCAAAAAATATGACATATATTTGACTGATATAGCACCATATTTCATGGGAAAAATTAAATAAAAAAGCAATATTTCTTTTTTTTCAATTTGAAATGATTTCCTCTAATGATACTTAAGCAATGATAAGATAATAATTCTTGTCTGGATTACAACTTCTATACAGTCAATTATATTTAACTAAACTTAACACGGCTATAGGACCCTTTTTAGAGTACATGCAGTTTTAAAGACTAAAACGCTGCAAAATTTATTGTTTGAATTATCTCCGTTTATTATACAAAGTTACTTTTTTCTTCAGGGAATACATTAGAATGTATGAACATAATTTATATTAACACATCACACAGTGGCAGGGATGTGAAAGGATGTGTGCTAAGATATATTGTGCTGTCTTGTTTATTTTTCTTTAAGAAACCTACCTTTATAATACTTAATTCATTCAGCGATGTCATTTATATTTTATAGAAACATACCTAGAATTTTCTCCCAACTTTTTTCCCTTGGGTTTAGGTCAAAATCACTGATGCATAAAATAGTTTTTTACACATTTGCTCATACTGCTTATGTTGATTAATATTCATTTAATATGTACACAAATGTGCAGGTTCGGGGAGCATCCATAGCCTTAAACGATAGTCGTGTTTGTCATTAAAAAATGTATGAATGTTGATATCAATAAAATATTTATATAGCTAAATATATATTTAGATAACAAATATAATCATTGTTTTGATATGTTTGTCATTTCTTGTTCATTACACTGAAGTTGACAAGCAAGTCGGAATTTTAAATTAAATATTTTCTGCAATGTTTAAAATGTGTTGCTCCGTTAGACGTGATTGTACAACAGCATTCCACTAGTGTTTAAGATATAGTTGTAAATAAGAAAGGAGAAGAAAAGATTTAGCACATCATGATATATGTCGATGCTATCAAGTAAGCAACATGATCAGCATTCCTGCTTTTGGTAACGGGTATTCTGAATGCGGCTCTAGTTTAGAAACTAAAAGAATGGCTGAAGTGTTACAAAGAGTCTGCTTTAAAGGAAAACAAATCATATATGATTTTGAGATTAAAACATTGTAAAAAAGATATGGAAAAGTAAACTTTTGTGTAAAATAGCAAGATAAATAAGTGTAATTGGTAAAATAAGTAAAAAAAAACTTATGACAACAACTTCAGTATCGTAACAAGTTTGAAGGTATGTCAAGGTCATAAGGGGTAGTATATTTATCATAAGATATATCAAGGTTATTAGGGGCAGGGAATTCATCCAGTTTAATTTATGTCAAGATCATTAGTGGAGAAGGTTCCAAAGTGCAATAACTACAGTGGTTAAGAGCACAGAATGTTGAAAAAGTATAGCAATTATTTCAAGTGTTTTACATCTGGATATTGTTATGGCTCTGACATTATCTTAATCAAATAATATACGAAACCTAAATATCAGGTATCAGATACACGTTTCTTTGGTTGATTGGGCTTGAATAGAAGCTTGCACGAACAGTAATGTAAGAAACAAAAATATTGATATTCATATTGCCACAATAAAAGTCAACAGAAATATGCCGATTTTTCAATAAAACATTCCATCAATCATACCATGTCGTTGAATATAATAAATTATTTCATTGTGCAGAAAGCATTGTGTGGCTATGGACGAATGTGTGATGATAACATATGTAGATTTTTTTAATGTTATAGTTCTTAATTTACGACGTTATGATTATAATGATAATATCGCAACTGTTATCAAATCATTTATAAATATATATCATCATTTCTTTAACGGACATTCGGCATAAGCTACATTTTTTAATTATAAAGTAAAAGCTGCAACGTTTATTCTTATATTTGATATCTTAGTTGTTTAACTTTCTTTTAAAATCATTGTGCCTGAATATTATTTGGATAAAAGTTTCACTTCTGCTTTTTTCCGCTTATTTGTTAATTACACTTTGATATTTCTAAGTATTTAATTTATCTAATAGTATATTAAATCAAAACACTTTTTCTGGCAGACATTTCTTTAAATATTTTGAATTCTTTGATGATTTTATATTCAAAATTTATATATTTCTCGTATATGCAATAATATTATTTAATTTAGTAATAAGATTAAACGACGTTTATTAAATATACAATAAACGGACGGAATAAACTAGAGAAAAGAGCCTGAATGAGATAATATGACCAGAGGCGTTAGCCATGGATTATATGTATGTCAGCAAGACTATAGTCGTCAGTACTCTCAAATATATAATAACGCAAATTCTTATTGACGAAAGATTCATGATAACAAAAACTGTTTTAAGAAAAGCGCGGAAAAATGCGCACGTTTATAAGATGACGCAAGACTATCAATGAGTGCACTGTACAATTTAAAACAATCAAGTATAATGCGATTCTAGCGGTGTTTTGAAAGTAATGACATTTGAAGCGAGAAATAAATGTTTAAAGCAAACAGAAAGATTTGTTTATGAAAAGTAATTGAACAATTAAAAAATATGTATCTGAGTTTTAAAGGAATTTTCCATATCCAGTTGTATATCTATATGAATTGCATTACATGGTCAAAGTGAATTTAGTGTCATTTTAACGAAGACAGGTAATGTTTAATTTGAACCTTTTAACGAAATACGTAACGTAAACGAAACAACCATGTTCATTAAAGGAACTAATAAAAGTCGAACAATCGATAAAATAGGTGACACTAAATAGCAAAACATAAAGAGATATTTTACGGTTAAAACATATTCTTCGTGCTTATATTTTATCGTCATTACTACCATGCTTATAATTTAAACCAATGTGTTTTAACAACATGTAAACGTGTACAAACATCTTTATTGTCCCACTGAGTAACTTCATTAAATACCTTATCGTAGGAGAATGCATCAATCATTGACTATAAGTAACATAAGCTTTCTATTATGTTTCACGTTGAGCAAGATGACAGCTGTTATTGATGTGTCTGCTATATATAGATTAATAAAGCTTAGGTACAGGGAAATAGATTGCACACATAATGGAGGAAAATATGAAAAAATGAAAAATATTCCCGTTATATCATTATTTGATTGCCATACATGTTAACCTCTACTTTGGTTAAATTATCTGATGGTTGCATTTGAGGGACCAGAATCTTTTTTTGTGCTGTAATTAAATTGATTTATTTGAAGCATATCCTTGGTCACTGATAAAGTGGATTAATTAATTAGAAATTTTGGTCGTTTATTATATATGATATGTTTTGTTGTAGGACAAAAAAATACATCCAATATTCTATTTTTGATATTTTTATAGCAGCTATTTAAAAGCAATACAATTCATTTTCTTTGATGTTCCATGTTTTAAATCGAAGTTGTCTGATTTGCAAATCCATGAAATCATATTGTATCCTTCAGTCGTGGGTCTATCCCATACTTTTTGTCTCATTCTTTACTCATTGTCTGTAAACCTATTCTCATAATTTCCAGTTGTCGCATCATTTTAACCGATATAGGACAACCCACATCCCAAATCGTGATAATTAATGTTATTTACATTTGATAAGTCGCATACCGATTCTCTCAAAACTGACTTTTTTGATGATCATTGCTAAACTTAAGTATACTGTAAATGTAACAGCCACTTTTCAAATTAAAAAAAGTTATTGATCAATAATTTATTTTGTTATAACTTACAAAAGAGGAAGTCACAAAATGTGTATGCATTGTGGTTTTCGGGAGGTAAGCAGTTTTGAATCAACACGCCAGAATTGTGTCTGTCATACAATAAATAGAATGTCTAAATAAAATACAAAAAACAAGTCTGCCATTATTGTGCATTCAACTGTGTTAAGTAAATATAAAGCACTTATAAACACAATGTGCTTTCGTTATCAAATATTACATAATTATATATTAAATATTTATAATACATTTAATTAAGTGGATTCACAGAAAAATAGTTCAATGCTATTTGCTTTTATTTAACACTGCTTCTGTAAAATTGTCTCTCTCATGGTATGTAAATGGTATTATATTTGCTGTTCTGCACTTAAATAGTATACGATTGCATGTAACAAAGTCATTTAATCTTTATACAAGTTTCGGAGATATATTTCGTATATGACTTTTTACTCGTTTTAAGTAAAATATTTGCTGTATGGTGAACAACTATAGTTAAAAGTAAATTTGATTCATATTGACTAAATTTAACGCTTTGAATCAACTTTATTTATTAAATACAAATAAATTAACTACTTTAATTTTAAAAAAGATAGTTTAAAGATATTTACATGCTACATGTTCAGTTTTATTCATTCATAAAAGTCAAGCATTTTACTAATCAGTTTAAAAGTTCGTTGATAGTTTAAATCGGACGCGATTATGTGACAGACATGCGTACAGAGGCGAACTGCTACATGTATTATATAACCATATTTTACAGACTACCACAGTGGCAGACTATAACATTAACAAGTATTCATGTATGTTATATATAAATGATAACCGTGATTGATCTCGGACACATAATGAAAATATGAGAATCGTACAATTTATTGATTGCGATTCAATGGTCCCATTGTAACAACGTCATTCCTATTCAATTTGACAGAAGCAGAAGCTATATATTGATGCGAAACTGATATTGCACAATTACACAGCACAATGACTTTGAATACTAGCCTTTTCCGCTGAACAATAACAGGCGTATTATGGACCAATATGAAGGAATACGAACACCTAAAAAATTATAAATATGACAATGTAAAAACTATCAATGTAAAAGTTTGCATAAATTTACATGAATATGATAATTTTCAAAAACCTTTGATATTGATAACTCATATTGTACACTTATCAATGAAAATCGGGAGATTTTAAACTGAAATCTGAACAAAATGTTATAAATGCTTCCGTAGGAGCACCTTTTTTTCGGATTTTATTACAACATTGAGGCCAATTGTTTTTCTAGATTAATTTGAAAGGGAAGCTGAAATATCAAGCATCCATCATCACTTAGAGTTATTTTTGTTTGTGAAGTAATTGAAATTACTCACTGGATTGATAATTTTAATCATGCCTCCAATTTGACTTTTATCATTATTTTATACCATATTGAGATGACAAATTATCTCTGGAAAATATGATCAGCTTTTAACTCTCTGTAGAATGTTGAAATTTTTGATCGGTGCATATACATTATTTGGTACACCATACCGCTGTGCTAAATAACTGAACTTTGAACAATATTCAGCAGTCAAAATATCTATCGTGTTCATTTGATGTGTTTGCTAAAGACTGTACAAAGCGTGTAATTGAGCACTAAATAAAGTGCGAGATATATTGTTGAAAGGCAATTCATTGTTACTAACTGTTCAACATTTATTTGAAACGAATTTGTTGTAAATTATATTTAATTTACAATCTTGTATTTGCATGTGTAACTGTAAGTTTAGCTTACATAAGTAACAACAGTGTCGTGAAGAGATAAATCGGTACTAAGAACGAACAACAATAAGTATACTGTTAAGATTGAAAAACGTGTGTTCCTTAAAAAAAATATAATTTAGCCACATGCAGTCTTATATTGTAGCATTAAAAATAGGGTTAAATTCTAAAAAAAACCTTGGTTTCATTTTGACGAAAGTATGTAGAAATCAACACAATCGTTTTAGATCTATCGATTGAAAGTTTAGCTTTTATTAAAGAGTCAAATAAAATGCTAATGACCTGCATGGTTTAAACTTTTTATACATTTTGATCATTGTTTGATGTGAATTGTCCTCAAAATAAACTACTTTAAATGTACGATATATTGCATATGATCTATTGAATGATCACATACTTAAAGGCAGAATCTTCTTTAAACAACCATTCTAAAATGATGAGAAGTGAAGAGTGTAGCGATAAAGAGTAAATGACATTTCAAAATACAATAGCTGTTTTACTACTGCATTAAAGCAAACAAGTAACAGCCGCATCTGAATCATTGTTTCATCTTATTTAAAAATTAAAATGCTGTATGTTATTTGACACAATTTCTTTTCAGATTGATACCCATGAATAAATAACTGTATAGATTATGTATTATAATCTTAACGTTTGTATAATGCCCATTTTAATGATTACCCTTTTAAAACGGGACAAGTAAGTTGATTCAGTTTATTAAAAAGTTTGGTTGTTGTCATACCATTTATGTTACTAAAAGTGTTCCTGCTATTGTTGAAGATTTTCAATACATAGAAATCTCGTATCAATTCAGTTATCTTGACGTAATATTCCGATTGGTCAGGTATAATAATACGCAAGTCAAAATGTAATAAACCTTTTTGATAATAACACAAGATTCTACACGTTGTAAATATATATTTTGCTTATCTTCGTGTAAAATACCTAGAATGCAGCATTTTATTTTAAATCTAGGAATTTTATTTTGAAGATATCTGTTTGGGAAGCTGCATTCAATGTTTACTGATCAAGATGATTTGATCCTTCCTCAATAAAACATCGCCCCGTTTTAATACGTGTGGCACTATGTATGCATATAGTGTTTACTTTATGTGTGTAGAGGCTTTAAAACGTTACATGTCATCCCAGTGTGTTTGACGGGGTGGGTTGTCGTTGTTTTCCTTTTTTCATTTAAAAAAGAAAATTATAAAGTGATTATCTTTTTTTTTTCAAAAATAAAATTTGAGCATAATCATGATAATGTATCCTAAAATTAACTAAGAAAACAAACTGACGAAAATATCTAGAAATGAAAGTTAAGTCGTATACAAAGTACTAGACTTATTGTTTTTATTCATTTATTGAAATGGTTAGTTTGAAAAAAATCCGGTCATTTTAGTTTGTCTATACAGTTACAGGCAAAATAATGCTCTGAAAAGTGTGATGTGGTTGGTTTGCGTTGTTACAATTTCAAAGACAAGAAAAGACAAAACTATCTCGTATACAAAATTGTATGTCCAAAGCATCACATAATTTCCATCTATTAAATCATTGCATTGTCTATGTTAGTAACTGCAGGCAAAACCAATTACATTTGTTAATATATCAACATATTAATTTCAGTCAGATATTTTCCTGTACGAGAAACAATAAATGATATATAAATATCCTTGTTATTGTTAATATAATTTATCAACAATATCAAAATGAGTCTTTGTGAATAAGAAATTGAGCAGTTTATAGAATTGTCTCATTAATATCTATGTCTGAATGTCAATGTTTCTGTTATCATAAATCTTTGCATTGTTTATCTATCATTATACTTAATAAAGTTTCATGAAATTTTGCAATTGATAGCTTATGCATTTAAGTTCACTATGATAGGTTTTGCAATCCAAAAAGAAATATAAAGTTATCGATTCAATTTGAAATCTAGTATTCTTTTTTAACTTGTAGCTGTTCAATCCTTAATGCATACTTTAAAAAAAATATTTGTGGTGATCAGCTGTAAAGAACGAACTAAATGTAAAATTTAAATCGTCCTAAAGGATAGATGAAGCATGTCAAGTAGTTCCTCAATAATGCAGAAAATTACAGTGTTGGTAAAACTCCCTCTCTTTTGTGATTTTAAAATTTCAAAGCCAAGCAAGTGATAAATCAAGGCACCGGGTCCCCCCACTTTTCTTCAAGCAAATCTTATTCACTCAAATATTATGATAAAAAAGCACCAATCATTGACCATTAGTAAATTAAATTTTCAAATATGTTCTTCGATGAACAGAAATGACAGCTGTTATTAATGTGCATGCTATATATAGATCAATATATCAACTTTGGTACAGGAAGTACCACAAAGACAATGGATACATGTTCCATTCAGTCATCATTGTGCGATTGATGTGTTCATTGGTTTAAATTTATAACTTGTTAACTAGAAGGGGGTCACAGAACAAAGTAATGGAGCATTTTTGAAAACAATCCTTTCTTTCAAACGTTGTTGCTTTGATGATATAAATATGTCAGACAAAGAAAATCTTGGTTAATATTGTATTTAGGATTTACTGCTTAGGTTCTTTTTGATTGGTCAAAATTGGACAATTATGTAACGTCCTTTAGGTTCATGTGAAACTTTTTTATAAATTGCAAAATGACTTTTCGTTTGATTGACATATTGAAGAAAGACAAAGCAAAATCAAATTTCCGATTATCAAAGTATGCCATGAATTAATATTAACATAAATCAATATGCTTTAACAGAATTGTTTTAGAATTTGTAAAAGACTTTTATAAGAAGGTAGACAATTGTGATTTATTGTTTAATTTCTATCACGTCATGATAAAATAGGTTATACAAGACGCTAAACAAATATGAAAAAATATATTGCCTAATGCTAAGCGTATCTTTGTAAAGTAAATATCGCTTAGCAGAGACTATTAGTAATCAACATTTTTTCTTTTATCCATTATGATTTACAATGCTACTTTTCAAAATAGATTCTAAACGGCAAAGACACAAGAAAGACACAATTTATTCGTATATAAAATTGAATGCTTAAAACATTGATATCTACATCATTTCTGCTTCAGTCATTGCATTGAATATGTTAACTTTATATCTTCAGGCACAAATTATAATCAATTCATCAAGGTTGTCCTTCCCTTGCTTTTATAAAAGCTTACTGTACACAAATCAATATCATCAGTAGCAATATTCTAATTTGATTGATAGTGAAAACAGAACCATTAAGTTTCTAAAGTCAGTCATGTGCAGATATATCGAATACATTGTATCACTATCTATATAATCTTTTACTCGGTGAAAAAGCTTTTTAAATAACAAATGTTTACACAATGCTTTATAATATTCAATTATTAAATACGTGAATTTAAAGTCCATTAAAAAATGAAGTTAATTGTTAACATATTTCTTTAACATATTTGTATTATTATATTAAGAAATCTATGATATTCACTCGATGAAATTGGTCATGGAAATGTGTAACTAAGAGCTTTTAAGCAAAATTTCTTTTTTCTTGTTTCCTTTGATCGGTCTGGTCGGTTGTTTGGTAACTTTGTTTTATTCGAACGTTTTAGTTCAAATTCTCTTGCGCGAGAATGCAAATAATACATAAATAATGTTAGCAAATAATCTTCCCTAGATTTTAATATAGTCTAAGGTACATTATCTTTAAATTAGTTCATTCGATGTAGGACTACTTAAACAAGTATAAAATTATTTAACTATTTACTATAATTATAACTAATCAATTTAATTGCATCATATCCGTCTGTTATACAGATCAATTTAAAGTACTACATTTAAAAAAAAATCATGATATTTTAATCATCGATATAATCATTATATTTGACAGATTAATTTCAAATTTCAAGTTTAACGATATCTGCATTGCATATAGCAACATTGCACTCGCCGGGTTTTTTATGTTTCGTTTTGCTTACTTGTAAAGTTTATTTCAAATGAAAATATTTTTTAACGTTGTTGTAATAGATAATTCCTCCTTCTAAACACGAATTACTCTTTATTTTGCTTTAAGTGCCAAGATCATTATTGAAATACATGCAAATTCACAATAAAAGAAAAGCCTTATCGAACTCAGCTTTTAAATTCATCATCTTTCTTTTTATAGTTTATATTCGAACAAGTTATATCAATCACGACGGTATTATATACCGCTAATTCAATTGACAAACATTAAATTATATTTCTGTTATTTATGTGAAGAGGAGTCGCCTGCGGGTACAATATGAAAATATTGCGATTAATTTATTGT